TGCATTTCAGTTTTCCTTGAATTTTGCTATTTTTTTCCCCCAATCAGTCTTTCTCAGATCCTTTAGCATCCACGTGGTGCTCTTTCCGGTAACCACCTTCCCCAGTGTGCATACATCTCCCTGCGGTGCTCTGGGTGGTACTCTTTGTATCTGGGTTTCTCCTCATGACAACCTCAAGATTCTCTATAAAGATCTCCTGGTTCAAGTTTCCACAACTGGCTACTTATTGCTCCACTTTCTCCAAGTCTGTGCTGCTTACCTGTTCGCCCTCCAAAACAATCACCACCTTACAGCCTCCACCATTTTCTCCTCGGAATCCCCGGCTCTTGTACTACACCTCCTTGGATGAACAAACCCGCAAGAACCCACACTCCTGTGACCTATGTCTCTTCTTTCCCCTCTGGTGGATTATGTGAGGTGGATAGCCTTGCTAAATCATAATCTCATTCATCATCAGTCTAATCGTTACTCACCTCTCATCTCCTCTGTCTTCAGTGTTCCTGGTAACCCCAATTTCCCGGTTCCCGGACAAAGATGCACATTCAATTATCAGTTGTTCAATAAACTTTATTAACAGTTTCTCTCCATCTCGTAAGTGTGTTCTGTATGTGAGTCACAAAATTAGCACCAAGCATAACATTAACCTTTATTATTAATTACAACTCCCACTTCCCCAATGGTATAAGGCTACAAAAGAGTTTATAGATGTGTTGCATTGTTTTGGTGATATTGTATACAACACATGAACAATTGCATCAGTATTTCAAGATTTACAGCAGCAATTAGAAAACTGAATGCTCCAGTGAATCCCAATCCATTTGTGAAAAAAGGTTTGCTGCACGACTTATTACAAGTCCTCCAAAAGCACTGTGAAAACTAAAATATAAAAAGAATTAACTAGCAATTATTATGTCAGACAGTAGGAAGAAAGGGCTTCGGCTTACTGGAGGCTTGGTGACAGGTGCATTGTGGAAGAAGTGATTCCTGTATAGGGGGTAAGTCAAGTTTCATTACCTGTCTGTTTCTTATGACACTTGGCTGGATACCATCTGACTTGTTACAGGAGCTTTGAACTGGCACTGCAGCAGCTATCCATGGAAGGTGATGTGGGGGTGGGGTAAAAGGGACAGGGTAATAAAAGACTTTTCTTTAAGAACCCTGTTGCACATGAGTCAAGCAGTGTGTGAGATTAGTGAAGTTGAGCATCACAACTGCTGGTATGATAGAGATTTCCTTCTCCTTTCTTCCACTTACTCAAACATCACAAATAGACAGGTTAATGGGGAAGAAGCAATGGTACAATATGAAATATTGGACGGGTGCTGTGACAGACAGACAGATAGATGTATGCTATGATGTATGTGCATGAGTGTGTCTAAAATAAATGCATTAAAAAATGTTAAAACCTGTGGACAAGGGCAAGTGCTCCAGTTTCGAGGTTCTCTTTGAGTCTGGATACAAGACATATGGAATCTTGAAGGGTTTGCAAAGTACATTAAAAGTCCACTATTATGTTTGGATAGATTTAAGCTGGGATAGGTCTGTGGGCTATACAAAACATGTTCATTACATTTAATACAGAAAATCATTCTCCAATATTGAGATTTCACCTGATGAGTTCTGCCTGTTTTGAGCTCATTAAAGAATGCGCCAGGCTACGACACAATGATGCAGATGAGCTGCTGCTGGCAACACCTTCCTAACTCAGTGTTTACAATAGCGCCTCAGATACGTAAAAATGACTACAAGCAGATGCATAGTGGTACAACCATTTATCTGCTAATTCTGAGGCAAAATAATTGGAGCCTCCTGAACAACAATCAAGCCACAAACACTGAAAGATTAAAAGCTGCGGCTCTGATGCGTATTTATATTATTAGTTTAAACTAGTATTACTCAACGGATGCGGTACCGCCCCCCAGGGGGTGTTCAGAGGACGGCAGGGGGTGACATTTTTACAAAAGGGGGGCGCTGGGATTCCTTTGGGGGGGCGTTTGCTCAAAGGTAAACTTTACACCTTTGCACAACAATACCAGTTTAGACTTTGAACAACTTATTCAAATTGTACTTTGTACAATTGTATTGTGTAACATTAAAATATGCTTGGCTATGACCAGGGGTGCAGAATAGGAGGGAAAAGTGATGACAATTATAGGGGCCCTGACCAACAGGAGGCCCTCCACAATTTAATTATTTATTTTTTGTTCATAGAAATTAAAAAAAATAAAATAAAATCGGGGCCCTGTCAGTTACAAAATTAATCATATTATTTTCAAAGATTATTTTTAGCAGTAAAAATTTTATGTTCCCACTTCCAGATCAAAAAACACACATCCATATTTGCCCTGAACACCCCCCTATCTGCATTAAATGGTTCATTCCTGCTTGGAGCCCTTGAGAGTGACGCTGTTCAGCAACAGTCAGTGGAAGACACGAACGACTGTGGCTGTGCTATTTTACAGCATTTTTTCTTTAATATTTTATGGATATAGTAAGTTTGATGACATTTTTAGGTATTTGTAGCTGTAGTAAATTTGAAGGCTTTTATTTTGAAGAACCATTGTATTATCAGTGTGACTTCCTGTTCAGTAATTTCCTGGGGGGTTTTTGGAGCTGCAGCAATCATGGCTGGATGTTATTTTGTCTTCAGCATTTAATCTTTTGCCATCCACAAAGAAGCTCAGCTGAAGCAATGCTGTAAGTGATGTTTTATGATAAGATACATGCTACTTAAGATGTGTCAGATATTATTTTGTTAAAACGCTAATGTTTCATTATTGTGACTAGTGATTTTCATTTGACTGCTCATGGTACATTTCAGTTGACTGCAGAGCTCATATTTATGTTAAATTTATGGACTGTATGTAAGGTTTGCTCAGACACAGAACTAAGTTTTGTATTGTTTTGTGTTCATTCTGTCTGCAGTTTTCACCGCAGCATGTAAAGAGGAAGCCAACAGTAAATGGTCAACCTTACTTCACGTCTCCCTCTCATCATTTGCTGTGGTTTAACTCAGTGTTTAGTCAGAGTTGATACACTCTTGACGAGAACATTACAGTGGCTGTTACTATGCTGCTAAGAAAAGTTATAAAATCAAGTTTTCCTAAAAAAGAGAGGGAGAGAGAAGCAAGAGTGTTAATTTATAACCTAGTTTTTCTCCGAGAGGTGAGTAGACTGTGTGAGATTATCAACCATTTAGCACAATTAGCTTAGTTACAAACTACTGTTTGCCACCTTTTCATTGGCATTTAATGAATTAAGGAAAAAATTACCAACATATTTAACTTGTCCCTTGTACCTTTTACCACTTAACAGATGAGTCAGTCAGCAGCAACTCTAGCCCACGTCCCTCCTGACCTGTCTTCTCCTAAGTGAAATCAAAGCTGCAGTATGTAACTTTTATATAAATAGTTTTTTCCACATATTTTTTTAAAACTGTCATTATGTTGCGACAGTATGGTATGAGAGGTAATCTGTGAAAAATATATTTCCTCTGCCTTCTCCCAGGGCTAGAAACAACCAGTTAGAGTTAGGAGAGTTTTAGTGCTGTCAATCACAATCTCATGTGGTGCTGCTCATTCTTCCTCCCCCTCACTTTGCGCCGTGCTGCAGCTAGCATGGCATAAAGCTATGTAGATTCAAACTGTGAATGCTCAGTTAGTTCACGTAGCATAGCTACCAATGACAGCAGACAAAGGGTGTTTTGGAATGATAAGTTGTTTCTCCACCATTAGCACATTGAGCTGTGAGTAAATGAGGCTATTTGACAGCGCTAAGAGCGTCCTACTATTTCTAATTGGTTGTTTTGGTCAGAACGGTGCATTACTTTACGCAGTAATTCGGGAAGGAAATGGAGGAGATTGATAGTTTTCACAGATTATTTGTCTCATAACAAACTGCTACGACATTGTGACAGCTTTAACAAATATGGAAAAATACTTTTTTTTTTTAAGTTATACTGCATCTTGAATAAAATGAAACTACATAGTATTTTTGATAAGTCTGGATTGCTTTATATGTAGTTGCACGTTGCTTTTGACTGTTGCTCATGGGGAGAGACGTTTCAGTAATCGAAAACTAATAGAAAAAATTTAAGCAACCTACTTCCATACTGGATGTGGACTGTTGGATGTTAAATTCATGAACAGTAAATATTATGCTAATTATCAGTATTGAACCAAAGAAAGCAAGGCATTTGCAAGACTTTAAAATTGTGACGCTTTTTATGGGTCAAATAGACTCAGAAAATTGTAACAGCAGCTGCACAGGCGGGGGGGCAAACAATTTTTTTGTCAGGGGGCCCACGATTCCTGGATTCTCAGTGTTTGTTAGGTTTTTGGCGCAGCTCTGCAGTCCTGCTACTGGTAGCTTCACCACATTAGTTGAGCGTTACACGGCTGATGACTTTGCTGTGATTTATTTGTCTGGTGTCTCATTTTCAAATATTTTATGGGTAACACTTTATTTGAAGGGGGTTGAATAAGACTGACATGACACTTTCATAAACATGACATATCACATGTCATGAACATGAATAAGCCTTCATGAATATGTATGACTGCTGTCATAAAGTGTCATTCTGTAAATTATGACACTTTTAATACAAAGTTGACATGATTCAAAATGTCTGTTATGACAACTTGACATTAACCAGGAAATCATTACTGTTTAAACTTTACCTTTAATAACAAAGTTACCTAATTTTTAAAGTGCAATCAGTAATACTTTTATAACAAATTTATATCAGTAATGATTTCTTGGTTAATGTCAAGTTGTCATAACAAAGACATTTTGAATAATGTCAACTTTGTATTAAAAGTGTCATAATTTACCGAATGACGCTTTATGACAACAGTCATAAATACTCATGAAGACTTATTTATGTTCATGACAGGTGTTATGTCATGTTTATGACAGTGTCATGACAGTCTTTTTCAACCCCCTTCAAATAAAGTGTTACCATTTTATGTTTTATTGAGGATTTTTGTACATATGTTTTGGCAGTGCTGTGATTATGTCAAAGCAGCAACTTATATTAAAAAATGTTTTATTGTTTGTCTGGATGCTGCCCACTTCCATGGAAGGACACTCAACCTAAGGGGAATGATTAGTCACTTGGTCTGGTCACAAACACAATGCCGAGCAAAGACAACAAGGTTCACAAGGTCAAAGTCAAGGTTTTGAGGGGAGGTACTCCAAAAACTTTCATCAGATCAATCTCGAAACTTATTTTTCTTATGTCTAAAGACTCTTTAACAGACAAAACATTTTGATGGGTCAATTAGTGCTCATAGATGTTGTTTAGTTAAAAATCATGTGATCTAGGTCATTTGTTTGGGTAATTAAAATGTTATTAATGGTACAAAAATATACCAAGCGAGGAGTGTGCCACCTAGTATTGATGGTAATATTTTCGTAGTAATAGTTCCTAGACGGACATCTTTAAGGGATGGACCAGTTAGAGCAACACCACGGAGATCAGACATATGAGACTGTTTCATTACAAACCCTATCGTTGTAAGTAATATATATACACACATATATCCTCCTGACTACCAGGAAAAAAAAAAAAATTGTCCAATCACCATTTTTTAAAATTCCACAATCTTTGTAAGGTAATTAGCATACTGAAAAAAAATTTTTTTGGAAAAAAAGTTTTTATTTTTGAAATATCATGTGTCCACTACAGTGGACATCGGAACGCCATACATTTGAAACTGAACCTTGATGGCAACCAGTTTGTCCCAAAGAAATTATCCAAACATCAACATAAGAATGAATTTCACATTGACAAAACTGAGCACTGTTGCCTAGCAAGAAGGTCCTGGGTTCGATTCCCGATCCGGGGTCTTTCTGCATGGAGTTTGCATGTTCTCCCTGTGCATGGTGGGTTCTCTCCGGGTACTCCGGCTTCCTCCCACAGTAAAAAAAACATGACTGTCAGGTTCATTGGTTTCTCTAAATTGTCCCTAGGTGTGAGTGTGTGTGTGCATGGTTGTGTGAACTGTCTCTGTGTTGCCCTGCAACAGACTGGTGACCTGTCCAGGGTGAACCCCGCCTCTTGCCCTGAACGTTAGCTGGAGATAGACACCAGCAACCCTCCCGACTCCACTAAGGGACAAGGATGTATAGAAAATGGATGGATGGATGGATGGATGGATGGATGGGTGGATGGATGTGTGGATGGATGGGTGGATGGATACAGAACAAAACAGAAAATAATTACAAATGTCCACTACAGAGGACAATTTTTCAACTTTTAAATACTACGATAAAGTACAGTCAAAATAATTCATAGAATGTTTTAATATGCTGCTAAGAGACTTGCTTAGAATATGCCAACAAAATTTTAAACCAAAATTTGCACAATAAAAAGTTTTATGCACTTACTTTTTCTCTTCCTATAAAATGTGCTTGTACTGATGGATGTCATTTTTCTGAATGAGGAAAAGGAAGGTACAAAAGTCCCACCCCTTCACATTTGGTATCATTGAAAAGCCCTAAATATCTTCTGTAGATACCAAAATAAATTAATTCAGTAGGATGCAGTGGATGGGAGATATTCAAGTTTACAAATGTCCTCTACAGAGGACAAATTTGAACTACTGGTGTTCAGTGTTAGACATTTATTTCTTCTTCTGTAGTTAATGATGTTTCATTTTATTACCTTGCTGTACTCCACGTAGGGAACTTTTTTGTTCTAGGTGGAGATGCTTAGTATTCAGCAGGGGTCCTCAGCGGTACATTTTATGTGGAGAATGAGGATGATTTGTAACTACTGGTTTAGATAGATGTTCTAATTGCTATAATGGTAAGATTAAAGATATTGCAGGTGTATGTTTTATTTTATAGACATAGATAATGTTTGTATTATACAAACATCTATGTCTATAAAATAAAACCTTGTGTTTATGCAGACATTGTAACTTCATATTTTATTTTTCAAAAGAAATGACAGAATGTTGTGTTTCTATTTACTGTTCAGTCTTACAGAAATTAGAAAAGGAGGATGAGGAAAACTTGTTGAAAAGAGATTCAAAAAAGAAAACTGAGGAAAAGGCATCAATCCTCAACACAACTTCTGGAGTTCTTCTTTCTTTGTGCTGTTAATTAAGTTATACTGTGAGGGCAGAATAGTATCGCTGCTATCAAACTACAAAAATGGCCGAATGTGGTGGAGTGGAATGCCGTGTGCCGTCTGGTGGTGGATGTGAAATGTCTCCTCATTTACATAACTGCAGCAAAAGGTGTTGCTCTAAAACTGTCTACGGGATAGACAGGTTTGTAGAGCTACAATAACCAGGAATTCAGACCAAAGTTAAGTTTCATCTCATAAATTATGTACACAGACACCTACACACATTTTTAATATACATATCACATAAATTACTTTATCATTTATTTGTTTACTTATTTATTTTTGTATTCAATTTCTGAATCTGGGACCTGAGTCTGAATTTCGTATCACAAAAAAGCAAAGGTGTGGTATGAAAATAAAAATCCTTGAATCCTTGAAATTATTGAATGTGTGGGAAACACAGAAAGCATAAGCAAATAACAAATTAACTTTTGCCAAACTTTGCAAGTTGAGCGGATTGTTAAAAGTTTGCTTGCTTATTTAATTCCTAATTTTCTGTTATGAGGTTGCTAGGTCACAAATTTCTGCAAAAGATTCTCAAATTTACTACAATGATAGGATTACAGTTCATAAGACACACTGTTGATATTAAATTCAGGCACTGATCATTAGAAAAAGAGGTTTTGTGTTGAAGATTAGGTCAATTTGTTTTATTTAATGGTTCTCATTGGTTAAATGAGACTTAGAGGGTTACGTCAACTGTTATTCTTTGTTAAATGTTCACATGTGTATTTTGGATGGAAAATAAAACAATATATTTATTTTTCCAATTGTGGTGTACCCATATCACTTTGCATATCACACAAAGCTTGGCAGATTAACCTTGCTTCATTAGAAATATAATAACCTGCTGGTGACTAAAGTCTGAGGCATCTTTCAGTCACAGTCAGGCCATGTGATGATTGAGAGTAGTACAGGGAGACTCTGGGGGTCTGCTCATAATTAGCCTTGAAGACAAAGCCTCTGCCGGTGTATTTTACTCTGAGAAGAACACAATCCACAGGTTTTGAGGATAAAGGAACCCTGATCAACATATAAGATGTTAGTGGCACCTTGAGATTGACATAAAAGTCATGTTAAAATAAGTATAAGCTTATTTAGATCATATGGTTTACATAAACTTGCAAATAAATAATTAGAACAAACAACCCATTGGACATTTGGTTATGTAGGTTTGGGGTTAGATATGTGTAGTTTGTTCTTGCTTCCCATGCCATCTGACTGCTATCAAAAGTTTTTACCAGGCAGGTGAACTAGTCAAGCTTCTTTTGATCAGTTTTACAAGATATCTAAAGATTATTGTGTCATCAGTATGGTCACTTTGTATGTGACAAAATCACTAAAAGCTAACAACCTCCATTAGGTTAAATGCATTTATTTAATATATTTAACATATTTTATTCCAATGAGGTTTTCGGTACACATACATCAGATTTTTGGATTTTCCAGTATTTAACTAACAAGTTTGTCTTGACACCTTGGCACAGATTTGAATGCTATGTCGATCATATCCTTTGTAGATGGCTGAACTTTAATTGTATTCAGTTACATTCAATTTTAATTAAGTTTAATTGATATTCGACAAGCTGAACTGAGAATCCACATTGTGTCATCACACATCATGCAGATAAATATATTCATCTTTTTGAATGAGAAATGTTTCCTGATTTCAAAACTCACTGCAAAGTGGAGTGCCCAGAAGTCGTCAACCTGATCCCGCAAACACTCACTGGAAGGAGACTTCCACAGCAGTGGTTCAGCTGCTGCAGATGCCCTACAATATGTTATGTCAGGTTCTGTCCAGAATCTAATCATGTAGTTCAAGGTGACTCAACTCTCTGAGCAGCAAATGGATGTCAGGAAGCTCCATCCAGACTGTTGGAGGTAGCTTATCGCCAAGTTCAAGGTGAGCTATCACTGCTCTGATACAAGTTAAACACGTTGTTTGTTGATCTTTAATTTGCTCTGCTGACAAGGAAGGAACTATTACAAGACCACCATATTGATCTTCATCTGAGGTTAAGTGGATTTGTGATTTATTCAAATGGGTTTGTGTTAAGTGATGGATGCGATGTTGCTCATTTGGGAATATTGTCAGTGATAAGTCCTCCATGTGATCAACTTGACAGACAGTCTGCGTCTATGCTGAACTTGCCTGCTCGAATCTGAAGTTTAATGTTGAAGGTGGACAGGGCTGCCAATCACATGTAGCTCACTGCTGTAGTCAATATGTAGGTCAGAGGCTTACTGTAAGTAGCGACAGTGAACTGAGTACCATACAAGTGGTCTCTAAATTTCTCTGTCACTGCCCTTTTCAAGGCAAGCAACTCAATTTATGGGCTGGATAACATGACTCACTTACAGACAAGCCTCCACTAGAATTAAATGAGCAATGGCTCTCATTTGAAACCTCTTGTTCTTGATATAAGGATGCCCCTAACCCTTTTGTACTGGCATCACTATAGAGTGAGTTCTGCAACTTGGAGTCAGCAAAGCCTAAAACAGGATCACTAGTGAGCATCTTTGTCTTAAAAAGATGCTTACAGTCAGTCCAATGCTCACTGAATGGGTTCTTAGGACCTCGGATTAGTCTGCTGAGGTGGAAGCTCTGAAGCTTGGAAACTGCAGCTCCGACGAGGTGTTTCATCGGCGGTGGTGCTGAGTTCCACCAAGCATTTTGCACAACTGAATGGCTGCCACGGAAGCCTTTAGACATCCTGATTCATGCAGTAAGTGACTCATGTACTGTTCTGTGGCACTGCGGTACAGCTTGAACAGATCACATCATGATTTGCAGGACACAGCGCCATTCACGCAGTGACCCATTCACACTATGTGAATGGATTACGTTCTGTTTCGCAGTACACTGCGCTGTGGTGCTGTGTCACAGTGCTCCCTAGCCCCTACCTCTCTCCCTCTCATCTTCATAAAATACTTTTTGAATGTTTATTTATGAAAACAATATGTGTACATGTTTACATGCATGTAGGTTGATTTAAAAAAAAAACTTTCCTAGTCATAGTCAGCTGTTGCATTTATACATTTAGCTCATTTAAAATGAACAAGTTCAAGTTCTCCTGGCCATGGCATCCTTAGCGTCTTTACCCTCGACTGACTTGCAGACAATGCTCATTTAAAACACAAAGCAAATAGAGTTTCATTCAAACTACAGCTGCCCTCTTTAGGACCTCTATTCTAAAGCCACTTTCTGTTGTCCCCTGCTCAAGTTTTTTCCCCATGGAGGAAAACAAAGCTGGCCCCTGCTGCATTGCATTTAGTGTGAGGGGAGAGAAAGGCTTGCCTGTTTTAAATAAAGAAGGAAAAACCTCTCCACAGGCTTGAAAAATGAAAAGCAGAGCAGGAGGGGAGCACATCAAGCAGGTGGCTGATTTGTCTCTGCAGTATTTATGAAAGATTCTCAGATTAAAACTGGGAGGGGGGAGTGATGAATGGAGAGGTTATCCTCTCATACCCATCAATGGTTTGTTTTCTCCCAAGATTTGTAACAGTTTATAGAGAATCCTGCAAGCCCTTATTATGTCCATGAACAAGTTGAAGGTATGAAATACAGGAATTATTTCACTGGCTGAACTGAAATGTAATTTAGGAGCCTACATTTAAAACCATTCTGTAACTCTATAATTACTGTCAAGCAGAGGTATACTTGTTTAGTTCTGGTGTTTAGTTATTTTTCATTTATTTGAACAGCATTGTGTTTGTTAACGTTTTTTTTTTTTTTTTTTTTTTTTTTTAAAAATTTGGAATTTTTTTTGCAATGGTATTTTTAAAGAAAAAAAATTTAATTTTTGGGGTA